AAGGTTTTTGGGTGATATTGATGGTAATTGTACCTGCTTTTCTAATGATGCTGCTAGTTTGGTAGACAATATGATAGCCTCCTCGAATTTATTTCCTTACATTAGAAATTTCTGTGTCTTAGATAGAGATGATTCGGATCATTTCCCCCTATCATGTGAATTAACATTGATTAAAAAGCCTGTGCTTAATATGCGTAGTAATGACATTGAAACTTTAACTCCCATTAAAAGGTATAAATGGAATCAGTCTCACATGTTAAGTTTTATTGATAATTTTAAAAGTACTTTGCAAAATACATCTCGTTCTTTGAGTAATACGGTTTGTAATGATGTTAACACAGGTGTTAATGCAATTACTTCATTATACCAAGAAGCTGGTCAGTGTAGTTAAAAATATGAGCGGACGTTTCTCTTCACAACCTCCATGGTGGAATTCTACTTGTGACAATCTTAAATATAATAAATATCGGGCGCAAAGGAAAATTAGAGAATCTAATTCCCTGTTGAATCTCAGAATATTTAAAGATCAACCCAATGACTTTAAGAACTATTGTCGGATTATGCTTTTGCAATACCAGTTTTCAAATCGAAACATGTTACTTGCTAGTAGTATTGATCCAAGCTCTTTTTGGAAAATTCTTAAGAGAGGTAAAACTTCAAGAGCTCTAGATATTAGTATCTCCCCATCTGAGTGGTATGAATACTTTGCAGGACTTCTTTTTGATGAAAATGCTGTTGCTATTGATCAACCTTCTGATAATTATATTGACCCTTCTGCAAGTGTTCTTAATGAACCATTTACTCTAGATGAGGTGCTCAGATCTATAGCAAATTTGTCTGTTGGTAAACGTTGTGGCATCGATGGTATTCCGGCTGAATTTTTTAAGAATATTATGGATGATATAGCTCAAATATTTTTAGCATTGTTTAATCATATAATTATTTTCAACTGATAATATTCCATTATCTTGGAGGTCGTCTGCTATAACTCCTGTTTACAAGTCTGGGCCAAGTAACATTCCTTGAAATTACAGAGGTATATCTATTACAAAAACTTTGTATAAAATATTTTCGGGTATCATTAATAAACGATTATAGGATTGGGCTGGAGAAAATAATAAGATTGATGCATCCCAGGCAGGTTTTTGGAAGGGTTATTCAGCTGTTGCTAACATTTTCTTTTCTGTTTACAATCAATGGTTCAAAAGTATCTATCTAAAACGTTTGGTCGTTTTTATTGTATCTACGTCGATTTTCGCAAAGCTTTGGATAAAATTAACTATAATAGAATATTTGTTTCATTAGAGAAAAAGGGAATCCATGGTCAATTTATGAATACTCTCAAGTATCTTTATCATGTGTCAAACTCAATAACAATGTCACTTATTTCTTCTCATGCAATATCGGCACCCGCCAAGAGGACTAAACAAGTTCGACAATTTTAGATCTCTTTATAGATGAGTTGCCTGTCCTTTTACGTGAAAATTGTGATAGTGGTATTTTTATCACAAATGATATTCCAGATATTTTCTGTTTTATGTTTGCAGATGATGTAGCAGGGTGTGCCTAAACTGCATTAAAGCTTCAACAGCAAATAAATATTATTTTGTTGTGATACTGGGATGGAAATAAATATGGATAAGACTGACATTACGGTTTTTCGAATTTTCGAAATGGAGGTCCTCTTCGTCGATATGAGCACTGGTCGTATCGTGGGACACAAATCAATATTACCTCTCAGTATAGGTACATGGGTATCTTACTTACAGCGAGTTTATCATGGTCATCCGCTCATTCTAAGTTAGTATCTCAGGCGTAAAGAGCTCTCTTTGCCACAAAGGCTTATCAAAGACCTTTTGGTTATTTCTCTGTTGTTGATTCATTTAAGATTTTTGATTCCATGCTTTGTTATGCATCTCAAATTTGGGGCTATGAATATGTAGATACAATAGAATCTATTCATAATAAATTTTGTAAAAGTATTTTATTTGTATATAGAACTACTAATACATGTATGGTTCTTGGTGAATGTGGTAGATTGCCTTTATGTACTACATATTATATAATTTGTATTCGATATTGGTGTAATTTGTTAACCATGCCATCACATAGACATCCAAAAGAATGTTATAACATGTTAAAATCTCTAGATGATACCGGTAGAAACTGCTGGGCAAGCAAGATTAGAAACACTTTTGTATAAATATGGATTCAGTTTTATATGGATAAGTCAAGATGTTGGCGATGTCAATGCTTTTATAACCATGTTTAAACATAGAGTTGTTAACTATTGTACACTAAACTGGCAAACAGCTCTTGAATCCTCTAGTAGATGTGATCATTATAATAACTTTAAAAGCCTACTTACTGTTGAACAATATTTGACTATGGATATTCAGTTAATTTATAGAATTGCTATGTCAAAGTTTCGCCTTTCAAATCACAGGCTGAATATTGAATTATGTAGATATAATAAAGTTTTAAATGAAAATCGTATATGTAACGTTTGCCAACAGTTTAATAATGCAAAATTAATATAATTGATTGTGAATACCATGCCTTTTTTAAATGTGTTAAATATGATACTGTTAGACAAATGTATTTATTTAGCTGGTATATTCATGGAACAGAAATTCAAGATTTCTATTCTCTTTTGTCTTCTCAAAACCCTGACATTGTTAAAAATATATCTATTTACATCTATCAACTTATGAATATATTTAATGATACTTAAGTTTCACAATATACAACTACTTGACATTTTATTATATGTTATACCTTATGATGTATTTTGGGCCGGAGGCCTTTATGTACAAATAAATGATTTGAGTTGTTGAAATATTTTAAATGTATCAGTTTTCCAGGTATTGCAATTATGAAATTATAGAAGATAATTGCTGCACTGTATTGCAGGCATATAGAGGATACAATATACATTGTTGACAGTTTGTAACTTTGGCAGCTATTATCTTCCATATTTTATATGTGTTAATGACTAACGTTCTACATTGTGTTTTGGATGAAGTGTAGTCTACGGTTACTTAAAGAAGCATATATTATTATCTCAAACAGCTGAATACAAATTGTACCATATTTCCCGCTGATAATTTAAAATCCAGATTAAAGTTGTTGGGGGAAAAGGCGTGATTGACCGCAGCGATATATGTCAATTTAACCTGACAGATAAATCCTTAATCTGACCTTTGATTTGCATAACAATAGTTTTAACGACAAACATTTTGTGGTGAAAACCCGAGAAACAAACAGACAAGCAAGTAAAAACGTGATATTCTGTCTCGAAATTTAATATGTACTCTATTGATTAAGTTGTTGCCATTCTCAACATATCAGATGTTTATATATTTGGCTTTTCAATAAAAATGTATACAATGTATTATGGATAACAATAACAGTAAGTCATTTGTATTTTTTTATTTTATTTACCTTTATTTATTTAATATTTATTTATTTATTATGTATTTATTATGTATTTATTTATTTATTTATTTATTTATTTATTTCATTCATCTATTCATTCATTCATTCATTCATTCATTCATTTATTTATTTATTTATTTATTTATTTATTTATTTATTTATTCATTCATTCATACATACATACATACATTCATTCATTCATTTATTCATTTATTCATTCATTCATTCATTTATTCATTTGTTTGCTATTTAATCATAGTAATCTAAATAATGTCTTATGCATGTTTTTGATTATATGACTTTTGTGGTTTTCTTTTAAAAACAAAATTAATTAAACCCTTGAAATAATTGAAATATACATTTTTTAGTAATCAGTCACTGCTTTTCATTTCTTTATTAAAAATATATTAAAGATATATTTTACTTAAAAGCGTGATTTTTTACCTCGTAAAAACGGTAAAGAGATAGAAAAATTAATATATTTTCGTATTTTTATCTTTTTTTCTAGTTCATATAAATTTAAAAATGTAAGCTCCTTACATATTCTTTTTAAAAACTAAAGGGGTCAGCTGAAATGTATTAACGTTTTAAACGAGAACCGCTAGATGTATATTCTCTTTTCTGTGTCAATGTACATGTTTGTAAAAGTATAAGAAGATTTAAATGTTAAAATATATCGTCAAAGGTATTTAAATGTAACATCCATTCATGGTCACGCTAACAAGGAAACACAACAATACAAAACTAACACCACATGGTCATATATAAAATACCCGCTTATTTACTCAAACGCGCCCTTTATGGATTAATTGCGTTTTTATATGACGTCATTGTGCCATTATAAATGAAGTTGTAAATCCATACGCTACTAAATTAATATATTGTTTTCGTATTTTGTATGTATGTATGTATGTATGTATGTATGTATGTATGTATGTATGTATGTATGTATGTATGTTGTATCCCAGCAGGCACATCAACGTTGTTTCAACGTTGAATTATGGTCAGATTTCAACGTTGAAATAAGGTTGGATTTATATTCGGATTTGAAAGTTGAAACAACGTTGAAATTTCAACGTTGATACAACGTTGCACCTTCAACGTTGGCACAACGTTGAAGTTTCAATGTCGTTTCAATGTTGAAAACCCACCATACTTGAATTTTTGGATATAAAGCAAAGTAACCAAGTTTAACAAAATATCAAGACAATATTAAATACATCAGATATTTTATTTCAAGAATACAGTTCAAGTGCAGCTTAAATTCACTTTAATAGTTTTAACAATTAAGCTACAATCTGTTCCAATCTTTTCTTCTTGATCATTCTGGGTATGTCAAGTGTTTGAGTACTTCTTTGTCTGTCTCTTACTGTTTCTGCAAATAAAAATAAGAAGTTTGTAGTTAATTTTAAGTGACTTGGTCAATCTCAAATTATACATATAATTACTCAACTTAGTGATTTGTTTTTATCTTAAATTAAATGCTTTTCTCTAAGATTTACATCATAAAACAGCATAGAAATTGAAACATAGCTAAGTTTCATATTGACAGCAAATACTGTATATTAGACAACAGAATTTTTTTTAAAAGAAGCTATTTAAAAGTCTCACCTATGATTGGTAAGAAAAACTGCTCCCCATCAGTTTCTTGCAGCATATTCCCAAGAAATTAACATTCTAGGCTCTAGCTAAGACCATTTTATGCAGCATCCTGAAATCAACAAACATGTAAATTTTATATTAATAATGTTACAGAAATATTCCGAAAATAATATAGTTTAAGACAAGATAAATATCCAGTAGTTGAAAAATTTATACCTTGTATTGTAAAGAAATTCAAATATATAAATTGATAAGAATTAATTTCAATTTAACAAACCTGACAGTCCTTTTCATGTTGAATGTATGGTATACAGGCTACAGCTGCAAATTACTCTAAATTTCAGCCAGGACCAGGATCTAGAATATAAAATAATATATAATAAAATAGAAATAGATTTATTATTCCCTATAAATTTACGACTATTAAACTTTAAAGTTTAACACTCAACTTTGTTATTTAACTTAATAATAATGTATTTTTTTCAAAGTAATTAACACTGTATTATACAATAACTAAAATATAAACATAGTTATATATATTGAAGAATCGTCTTGGGACGTAAATTATGTTGGCCGAACTACTTTATTGGTTTCAATTTTATAAATGATTAAATTCTAATTAGGATAAAGTACAGACAAATGTTTAATAATATGAAAAAAAAATTAAAGAAAGACAAGATTTGTAAAATCATAAATTGCCAAGGACATCAATAACTTCATGCTTACAAGACCTACCAAACCCAAATCATTCAATTAGGTCGCGAAAACGTGTCAAATCAACTCAATCATGTGTTTTCATCTCTCATTTATTTCATAAAGTAAATTAAAGTAGAATTTTAAGAATAAATAATAATAGTTTAGAAAATAATCAGTAAACTAAAGTAAAACATTACGGTAATACCTTCGAAATCCAAATAAATTGCCAATTGTGTTGTTTTCAAATTTTCCAAACAGCGCCACCATTTGCACGAACGATAATCATAGACAACAAACAAAATCATAGACTGCAACAATTACTTCCCCTGACCAGCGTTATTTTATAAACGGGGTTTTGACTAATATCAATTTATTAATTAATATTATTCATAAAGAACTAAAAAATAAAACAACAAACAACAAAACATATTAACTAATATTTAAAGCGTTAATAGAAAGTGAAAAATTATTTCCAACTTTATTTGCTTAAGCGCTAATTTTGAATATATGGAAAAAGATTGTAACGCAAATTTTCCTGACAAAAAATCACTTACAGCCTAATTCAATAAAGGAATAATAACACAAAATTAGTGGTATAAAAGTTTATATAAGGATTAAACTAAATGTAAAACTTCGACCATAAACAACGTTGAATCAACGTTGTATATACATTGGCAATATATCCGTATGGTCGTCCATAGTTGAATATTGGTTGAACAACGTCACGACCATATTTCGACGTTGTTTCAACGTTGAAACAACGTCGAGTGCCTGCTGGGTATGTATGTATGTATGTATGTATGTATGTATGTATGTATGTATGTATGTATGTATGTATGTATGTATGTATGTATGTATGTATGTATGTATGTATGTATGTATGTATGTATGTATGTATGTATGTATGTATGTATGTATGTATGTATGTATGTATGTATGTATGTATTCTAGGCTTAATGAGTCCATCCACCATTTCAAGCACATATATTAACATCATTGTTAAACGGCAAAAATCCTGCTTTAAAAATAGCAGCACAAAATATCTAATTCCGGAACATTATACTGTTTATATAAAATATAAATGTGTGTTAATTGACAGAGGCGTTTTATTTTATAACTCTTTTAAAATCTTTCATAGAATCAAAACTATTCATCAAAAACAAATCATGATATTTATTGTTAAAATAAATATTATTATTATTATTATTATTATTATTATTATTATTATTTTTTATTATTATTATTATTATTATTATTATTATTATTATTATTATTATTATTATTATTATTATATTAATAATTAATATTATTATTATTATTATTATTATTATTATTATTATTATTATCTTTTTTTATCATTACTATTATTATAATTATTATTATTATTAATATTATTATTAATTTTTATTATTATTATCTTAATATTATTAGTAGTAGTAGTAGTAGTAGTAGTAGTAGTAGTATTAGTAGTGGTAGTGGTAGTGGTAGTGGTAGTGGTAGTGGTAGTGGTGGTGGTGGTGGTAGTGGTAGTGGTGGTAGTGGTAGTGGTAGTAGTGGTAGTGGTAGTGGTAGTGGTTGTAGTCGTAGTAGCAGTAGTAGCGGTAGTGGTAGTGGTTGTAGTCGTAGTAGTGGTGGTGGTAGTGGTTGTAGTCGTAGTAGTGGTAGTGGTATTGGTAGTAGTTGTATTAGTATTAGTATCATTATTATGATTATTATTATTATTATTATTATTATTATTATCATTATTATTATTATCATTATTATTATTATTATTATTATTATTATTATTATTATTATTATTATTATAATAATATATTATTATTATTATTATAATTTTTATATCTTATTATTAGTAGTAGTAGTAGTAGTAGTAGTATTAGTAGTGGTAGTGGTAGTGGTAGTGGTAGTGGTAGTGGTAGTGTAGTGGTGGTGGTGGTGGTAGTGGTAGTGGTGGTAGTGGTAGTGGTAGTAGTGGTAGTAGTGGTAGTGGTTGTAGTAGTAGCAGTAGTAGCGGTAGTGGTAGTGGTTGTAGTCGTAGTAGTGGTGGTGGTAGTGGTTGTAGTCGGTAGTGGTAGTGGTATTGGTAGTATTGTATTAGTATTATTATCATTATTATTATTATTATTATTATTATTATTATTATTATTATTATTATTATTATTATCATTATTATTATTATTATTATTATTATTATTATTATTATTATTATTATTATTATTATTATTATTATTATTATTATTATTATTATTATTATTATTATTATTATTTACTATCATCATCATCAAATGGTCTGGTTATTATTTATCGCAGTGTATTATATAAAACGAATAACCTTACAAGTTAAGAATTTCATTTAAAATCGATTTTACTATCTATCTGTTCTATTCAAAGCCAAGCGTAAACAAAAGTCCTTTAGTAATAACGGACGTATATTTATATATAATAAGAGGAGATCTTGTGAATTATTAATTAAGAAAAGATTTATCTGAATGAAGAACAAATAGCCTTCAGAAATCAACAGTTCCTATGTCTAACAACACTATGGCGAATGGGAAATAAAATGGTTTAATTTTTAGTTTCCAAAAGTGTATTTTATTATTTGGATTCAAAATAATCTAAAGGTACGTCATTGTTTAGCTTAGTGTTATGGTTGAATGTTGATATATTTTCTTGGTACTTCTTCATCATTCGACCAAATACTTTACTGCTTAAGACGGTGACCGTGGACTTATTGAACCTTCTTCTTTCATGAGTACTTGTATACTCATATAGTAAGGGAATATTTTTTCTTATGAACTTCAACCGTGTGATTTTCTACAGCAACGCACTAAAAATTTGATATTTATTTCCTGAATATTTCAGATATTGGCGAATATAAAAATTCTCAGTTTGATTGAATGTGTTCGTAGGAGTGTTGTTAAAGTACGATGTTTTGTCACTTCAACAGCACCGACTCAAACGTGACTAGTTGAGAACCATTTAGCCGGTGCTAGGGGAAGCGAGAGTTGCGTTTCTTATTATCCCTCACGTACAGACTAAATCAAATCGAGTCTGCAATTTTAATATAATTTTGTTGTAACTAGTGCTTCGGAGGGATCACTGTTTAAATATATATCAAGATATTAGTATCAGTATTCAATCTTTAACACTTGTTCATGAAGATCCTGAAAAACTATTGCCAAACGTCAGTCGTAAAAAAACGTAAAATATGACAAATTATAATGAAAAGATTATTTGCATAAACAAACAAAAAGAAACTTACAAGCAAACAACAAATCGATATTTTCCTGACATATACAAATGAAACATATGTTACTTAAGCGCAAAACTCAACATTATATGCAATTTATAATAAAAAAAAACTCTTTCTGTGCACAAACAGCTTTTAATTAAAATAATTGTATTTGACACACTTTAAAGGCACATTATACCTCGGAAATGAATAAATATTTACTTTTTTATAAAGTTTAAACACGAGATTTACAACGTTATAATAATAGTTGTAGAGCATGTTAGATGCTTTTACCTGACGAAAATAACGCTAAGTGTAAAATTATATGTCATTAATGCAGCAAAATGTAAACAAAGTAATGAAAGTAGTACACGTATTTTGACATCCATACAGAATACTAAATCACTATAAATGTACTAATTGACAAAAAGCAACAGAAGATCAAAGTTCAGGTAATTGGACAATGAGTAACTTATTGAAAACTATAAAAGACTACCAATAACTAAGATATTTTGAGAAATATAAATGAAAACTTTCTTGGGCATAATGCATCGATTCCTGACCTGTCTAATTCTAATTATCAGATTAGTGGATACAATAA